CCCGCTGGCGCGGAGGCAGCCCCTGAGCATCCCGAGCTGGGCTGGGGACGGCGGGAGGCTCGGAGGGAGGATTTGGGGGGACCCTCCCGCTCCCTCCTCACCACTGTCCCACCCCTTCTAGGTTGCAGGAGGAGATGCTGCAGCGGGAGGAGGCCGAGAACACCCTGCAGTCCTTCAGACAGGTTTGCGAGGGCTGAAGGGGAGGAGAGCCTGAGGGGGCGGTGGTGGTGGTGGTGCCCGGGACGGGAGGGAGGGAGGGACCGCCGGAGTTTGCTTTCCTGGCACAAAGGAATTCCGTCGGTTCTCACGCAAACCCTCCCTTGTTTTCTTTAGGGGGATGCTGCGGTCTGAGGGGAGGGGGGTAACTATTGTCTTGCTTTATCCAAGTCTAGCCTGTGTTACAAAAAGCGCTCCGACGTGGAATCGCTTTCCGATCCAATAAAAGTGAAAGGGGGCCATCTGCTCGCTTGGCTGAAGGGTATTAATGGTTTCTATGGGATTCACCATGGAATGCAGATACAGGCATTATGGCAAGCGTGGTGGCAGCAAATTGAAATAATAGATCCCTTTGTGTTGCAGGGGAGGGTGCAGTGGGCTGCATTCTTACTAAATGTGTAATGCTGCGGGCATATTCCTAGCGAAAAGTGCCTATCGTGTACATGGTCCAGCTTTTATACAAAACAGAACTTCTTAATGAAACGCTTTGGTCAGTGCATTACTGGACAACAGTTTCAAATTTGAAGTTTTTCATATGGGTGTGGTCTGCTGACAAGAATTAGACAATTTATTCCTTGGGGTGAGGTCACAGCAGCCAAGCCTGTCTCCCGTGGATGTCTGTTAAGAACACAAAATTTAATCCTCTGTAAAGGAAGATGCTAACATAGGAAACAAGTTGTGTTGGAGTTGAGTCTCTGTAGGAAGGTACCGTGTTACCTGGATAAACTAAAACCTACATGACAGCCAGAACCAACTGTGCAAACACTGTTCAAAAACTGTTAAGCTCAGATTTTCACTTGTGCAAAAACAGCTTTCAACTTGGATTAAGCTTTGTTTGGACTAGGAGATATATAGGAATGTGCCTTCTCAAAACAAGGTCTCTCATCTAAAACTGCTGGTGAGAAACGGCATTGCTAGCGTTCCTCCCAGCTGGAAGTGACTGCCCTTATCTCCAGACAGCTGGGCACAGGCTCTTCATCCCAAAGCTCTTCATAGTGGTTAGATGTCACCATTCAGGAAATCATCACTTGGTTGTTAGTGTTTCCCTGGGCAAGGCTTTCGACTACAGTATATTTATAGTCTCTGAAGAAGAGCAGGTGTCTTCATGAGATAACGTGTGGAGACTGAGACACGTACTCCCTTTCGGAATCTGGGAATTTAAAGTCTCCATTGGTGTTCTGGGGACAGATGTTTGAAACAGAACAGTTTGGGATATTGCTGTAACTTCACCTTCTGTGTTTTGGCATACTAAGCCAATTTAATGTAGTGTGAAGTTCCATGTAGAAGCATTTAACTTGGGTTTTAGAGAACCTAATCTATTCTAATTCATTGCTGAATTCAGTTGAAGGATCCTTTGACTTAAGGCTGGCTTAAATGATCTTCCATACTTAATTGGTGCACTTTAAGGCATGTCTACCTCTATTTCAAACCAATTAAACTTCATGAAGGCTCTAGGCTTTTAAGGGATCTTGTCTTTGTGCATATTCCACATTCGCTATTCAGCTCTTCCCTGCACCGTGGAAAGGGATTGTTCAGCCCAGCCTCTAATAGACTTGTGTGCCAAGCAGTCAGAACTGGATTGATGGAACCTCTTAAGGTGTAGCTTATGCATAAGAATTACAAACCATTGTCTGTGGAAACACTGCACTAAATCCACTCATGATCTAACTGGTGCACACTAATGTGTTTGATTTGAACAGCAGTAGTTTCTAATTTTTCCTTACTGTGAAAGGATAGGCTTGATATGCAGGTTTCGAAAACTAAATCTGTTTCTGTGTAAGTATTGTTCTTCTGCAAGTGAAATTAAATTCATAGAACACTGAAGTTGAAACATCCTGTTTTACTTTCCATTGTAAAGAAAATGCACAGCTTTTTGTTAAACTGTTATATTCTTGCCTGGCAAAGTTGTATACGTGGATTCAGAATATTTCAGCAGATAATTTACTGTTCTGACGTAGCATCAAATTTACTTTTTACTTGTTGGAGCAGTTGTATACTTCAGTACTTTAAAAGAAAGTGAAAAAAATATTTGAACTTAACTTTTATATTGCCAAAAGCTGCCTGCTTTAAAGACTGTTCAGCTCATATGTACTGAACTTTAATTCTTCACCTGAACAAAGATGTGATTTTACTGGTATGCTGAGAGGCGTACTGCATAAAATAAACCTAAATATTCAGTGAGTTCTTTCCTTTGGCACAAAACAAGCATCATAATAGTGAGAAAGTTATTTACTGCAGCTTTGTCAGCTGCTCTGGCAGCAAGGAATAGATCCTGAACCTATGACAAAGACTAATGGGTCTGTTTCTGGCTCATGTGAGGTTTGTCTGAAGTAAACATGGATGCTCAACCCTGAAACTACGTGACTGGCATTAAAGAATCTCCTAGGATAAAATCAGTGTGTAGTCCAATTGCATGTATGTATGCCTTACACTTCATTTGCTCAGGCTACAAGTAGTTTGTTCTTTTATGTGATTCTTCATACATCTAGGAAATACAGATACACTGATTCTTCACTCCCTAACTTAATGATAACATATAGAGTAAAATACGTACCATACCTTCTAAGTGTCTTGAATTTAAGATGCTTTCAATTTATTACAAGCTCCTAAAACTCCTGTACCTAGGCATTTGTCATGAAAAAATTAATAGTCTTCAGGATGCAAATTTCTGTAGAATCCACTGGAAACTCTTTGGATGTTTGTCTAATTGTGTAAACATGTTAGGTCATAGTCGTATCATTTCCTTCCAGAATGATCTTCAGGTTTTGCTGGGGGGAGGAGAACAAATGAATTAAGGAATTCTTTCTCTGAATTGAAAAACAGAGCTGATATGAACTGTGTGGGTGTAAAACTGGAATTGATAGGGAAGTTGAGGAATAACACATCAAAGGGATGTTCTGCTTGATAAAGAAAACAGAAGAATTCTTCTGGAGCAAGAACCTCACCCCAGAGTAGGAGTGAAGGAATGGCTTTCTAGGAGTCTAAAGAAAACACTCCCTATTTCAAAGGTGCTAGAACAGTGAGAACTGCTGATTAGGAATGCTTGTGCTTTGGGCAATCCAAAATAGCTTTTGAGTAAGCTGTGAAAACCTGATAAATTAATACTGTGTGAACATGAGCATGCAGCTGTGTATGTAACTAGTATGAAAGGAACAATTGTCCCCTTTACAACACATTTAAAATGTAAGAAGTTACCAATCAATGTTTAGTTTAAGTTATGTTTTTGAACTAAGTCAAGCTGCTCCCATGTAACATTCATGGCATGTCTTCTGTTGTGCGTTAAATGAATTTTTGCTGTTGATTAAGACTATCTCTGTCCAGCAAAAGGTGGAGTCTTTGCCAGCTACTGTGAGGGTGTAGGCAATGATGACTAACTCGATTTACATTTACGCTCATACCTTATTTTTCTCAAGGGAGATCTGTCAGACCACTTGGAGAAGTAAATGCTTGCAGTTTCTGTATGTCTCTCACTAGCTTTACAAGTATGCTTTCAACCTATGGTCTGTGGACCCAAAGGGCTCTGTGGATGATCACCAAGGAGTCCACAAGAAATAAACAAGAAATTAAGCCTACTTGACAGGCATGTAGGCACATGGGTTGCATGTCTAAGCCTCACTGGAAAAAATGGAAGTCTGCAAATTGCAAGACTAACACTTTTTCAGTTGTAGTCAAGCTAAAAGACCTTATTGCTGTCTTGTGACCCAAGTATCTGCTTCATCTTCATGCAAGATTTACACATACCATGATCTGTGTGCTCTTGATCATGATTAGTCATATGTCAGTGGAGATGAGGTAATCTACATGTGCTGTATAGTTCCCAAAATCATGATAAAGGTGCATATAGAGGTCTCTGAGGCTGGGGTAGGAGGTGGCAAAAAGACAGAGGTTTTTCCCAGATCTTCATTTCATGTTCTCTTGCTAAGAAGCTCAGATGTAGCATCAGTCTGTATGCTACTAAACTTGCTGTAAAAGACTTCTCTACGTAAGTTTTGTAAGATTGCTAATTATTCATCTCTCTGGTCAGGATGTTGACAATGCCTCTCTGGCACGTCTTGATCTTGAACGCAAAGTTGAGTCCCTGCAAGAGGAGATTGTCTTCTTGAAGAAGCTTCATGATGAGGTAAGCTGATTAATGAGGTCTGTGACTTGATGTTGACAGTCTAGCAAGCAAGCTCGCTCTTTGGTGGTTGTGGCCCTAAGTCCCCTCCTGTGTTATGTTCTGTGTTTTGTCATGTAATAAGACTGAGTGTCTGCTTCTCCTTAAGGAAATCCGAGAACTGCAGGCCCAACTCCAGGAACAGCACATCCAAATTGATATGGATGTTTCCAAGCCTGATCTTACTGCTGCCCTGCGTGACGTTCGCCAACAGTATGAAAGCGTTGCTGCTAAGAATCTTCAGGAAGCTGAAGAGTGGTACAAGTCCAAAGTAAGTTAAATCTGTTCAGATGCATCAGGCACTTGAACTAACTGTACATAACTGCTTTGCTGTAGCACTCGGTGTTCCCTCTGTCTCTCTAATGGGCACGAACACAGCCATGGCACAGGGTCATGTTTAAAATCCTAGTCTTGGAAGGGTCAGCTGAAAACATTGTGCCATAAGCACAGGATCAAGATAACAGGTTCATACTTGGAGTCTTTTGTATGCTTGTACCTGGGAGCAAATGTTGGATTAAATACTGACAAAAGTGAATGAATGGGTGAAAAAATGATGAAAAGATAGGAAATACACAGGGCGGGGAAACAAATATGTAAAGTTTAACTATGAATTCCAATTTAACAATTAAAAATAGAAAGGCATTTTGAGTAATGCTAATATTTAAATGTTTCAGGTGTTATGACATGTAATGACTTCAGTTGCCCTCAAATGTTGTGTCCAAAAAAAGTCTGTTATACCATTTCTGTTGAAGTGTTACGCTAACCAAACTGGGGATTTCCACAGTTTGCAGATCTCTCCGAAGCTGCTAATAGGAACAACGATGCCCTGCGCCAGGCCAAACAAGAAGCTAATGAATACCGCAGACAGATCCAGTCTCTCACCTGTGAAGTGGATGCCCTTAAGGGAAGCGTAAGTAGAAAACAGCAGTTGTTGGGATATTCTTCCCATTGCAGCTTTGAGCACTGCACTGCAGTTTAACTGTTGATATAGGTGTGAATGCAGCGATCTCCTGTGCAAGACAGCAGCATATTAGTACTTTGTGAAAAGGGTGCTTGTCGTGGTCTAACCCAGCCAGCAACCAAACACCACGAAGTCACTTGCTCACCCTCCCCCACCCCCAGGGATGGGGAAGAGAATCATAGAATCATAGAAATAGAATTAAAGGGGAAAAGGGAAGGAGACTCATGGGTTGAGATAAGAACAATTTAATAATAATAATAATATGAAATTAAAACTAATAAATCACGCACCACCTGGTGACCAACACCTGTCATGTCCTGGCAAGAGATCCCAAAACAGATCCTGGCACTGCAATCCCAGATGAGTGAGAGGCCTGAAAAAAGAGTGAGGGAGAGAGAATTCAAAGAAGACTGAAAGTCAGAGAGCCCTTGGAAGAGAATACCAAACTTTCTGGTCAGCCCTCATCTTTATACTGGGCATGACACTGCATGATATGGAATATGCCATTGGCCAACTTGGCCCTCAATCCGAAATCTTAAGTTCAAATCATAAGGGGAGTTGTGGGCCCCTTGTCCCAGCCATTCTCCCCACCAGCCTGTTGTGCTCCTGCACACTGGCAAAAACATGGGAAGCCAAAAGGTCCTTGATGTCTCAGTGCCAACTATAAACATCAGTGTGCTATTAACATTCTTCTGGTAACAAATCCCAGACTAAAACCAAAACACAGAGCTCTTCTAGCTGCTAAAAAGGAAAACTAACTCTGTTCCAGTCAAAGCCAGGACAATGCTATGGGCTTGATTTGCCTGCATGCACTACAAGCGCGCTGGTTATGTTGATATGCTGAACTTGTCTTAAGGTATAAAAAAAGAGTTCATTCCCTTGCTGTAATAGTCTCTGTTTATGTAACACTTTCTGGAATTGTTTATGGCTTGTCTGTCAGGTACAGCTGAAGCTAAGCGAAAAGCTGGAGGAGCAGTGGAAAGGTGCAAATCTTGCTGTTGCTAGAACCTGACTGCCTTTTAAAAGTTGGCTTGAAATAGATTTGTCAGTGCATAGTACACCTGCAAATCCCCTCACTGAGGACTGCCCACATACTGACTTGTACTGCGTGTGCTGGACTTGCTGTAAGGGATTGCTTTGCTGACTGGTATAACAAATATGTAGCACATCTCAGATAAAGTAGCAGAATAACCCACCTTTACTTTGCAAGGGGAAGATAAGGAGATGACAAATTTGGGACATGTCTGGGCACTTTCAGCAAAGATGCTAAAGTAACTCGGTTTCCCTTTTTTAAAAAATTTGAGGGGCTTTGAGGGTGGGGCAGAGTGGCTAAACTGCAGCAGTGCTTGACTTCATTACTCTTTCAGAATGAATCCCTGGAGCGCCAGATGCGTGAAATGGAGGAGAACTTTGCTGTTGAAGCTGCTAACTACCAAGACACTATTGGCCGTCTGCAGGATGAGATTCAGAACATGAAGGAAGAAATGGCTCGCCATCTCCGCGAGTACCAGGACCTGCTGAATGTAAAGATGGCTCTTGATATCGAGATTGCCACCTACAGAAAACTGCTGGAGGGTGAAGAGAGCAGGTAAAAATTGCATGCAGATGCTTTCCTAAACAGCAATTACTAGAAGACACTCTATACCCATGTCTGACTTTATGCATTTCTTTTTTTCCTTCAGGATTAACATGCCTATTCCAACCTTTGCTTCTTTGAACCTGAGAGGTAAACTGTTTGTTACTTCAGTTTAGTCAGCTGTTCTATCATTAGCAAAAGGTTCTGGATAGTTCCTTTTACTCTAGTATTTGAACTTGTATAAATGCAGTTGCATGTGAATGTTTTTCTCAGACATAACTACAATATTTGCAATTACTGAACTTTGAATGAGAGGAGCTACTTTGTTCCTGGACACAAATAATATCAGTACATAGCGAATGCTTGGTGTAGATGCCTGCTGAAGGTGCTTTAAGGGGAATAGGGAGAAAATGGAGATTAGTTTATCATTCAGAGCAGGACACTTCTTCATATACTAAATTGGGATTCTGAAAGTAGACACTAAAATCTGTTACACCTCATTTCTTTGGAGGGGCACTTCATCAAGACTATTTGTAATACTACGTTTTCTTCTGCAGAAACCAACATTGAGTCTCAGCCAATGGTTGACACTCACTCAAAGAGGACACTTCTTATTAAGACCGTTGAAACTAGAGATGGACAGGTTGGTGGTAACTAATTTTATTTCTATTACAGCTGGTTACCTTAAAATAACTTAAATTTGTCTACTGGTCAGTGCAGCCTGTGTACAGTAGTAAGTATTGAGTAGAACAGCATCTGACAGTCAAGGCTGCATGGCTGAATGTACAGATGTAGCAAACAGGCTTCTGTGGAAATGATCCCAAAATTCCTCTGACAGTAAAACCTTAAGTGGCTGACAGTTACCCTGTGTAATGAGTATTTAAGTTCAGCTGAGTTAGCAAGTTCTCAAAAGATTTCTCACATCACCTGAGAAAAACATGTGGCAGTAAACAGATACTTGTTTGGGACAAGATGCTGTTTTCAGGCTAAGTCAATAAAGTTTAAATGGTTTCTGCACACTATTAGCCAACTAGAACTTATTTATAAGTGAGAGTTGATAACCTGTTCGCGTTTCTGTGGTATTGGATGTTCCAATTCTAGTTCTGAAAACTAATAATCTTACTGCTAAAGCTTAATGCAAGTGTCTTATGTTTTTCAACAGGTTATTAATGAAACTTCCCAGCATCATGATGACTTGGAGTAAAGCTGAAGTGAAGATGCATACTTACTAATGCAGGAGAAATTCTTACCAGCAAGATTTAAAAGTCCATGTCTTAAAGGAAGAAACAGCTTTCAAGTGCCTTTCTGCAGTTTTTCCATGAGCGCAAGATTATTATGCTAGGAAATAGGTCTTAGATCTTGCAAACTGACTCTCCCTGAAGGATTAGAGTTTACAATGGAGTCTAGTTTACAAATAGCAATATCTTGTGCTGCAATACTGTTTTTAAGTATCTGAATTCAATAAAACTGCTTTTTCCAGCACCGTATGAGCAACCTGTCGCTACTTCAATAAATCTTTGAAAAATGGCTCTTGATGTGTTCTAATTTGTTAACTTCATGACTTTTGGAAAGCCATAACAACATAATGCTGGAATTACTATACGGTTGACATCTCCAGTACTGGTTGTGTGGAATGCTGTTTTTTCAGTTTAACTAGATAAGCTGTCTTACTTACTGCTTAGGTTTTGGAACCAACTAAAATGGACTATAACTGGCAGATGCATTATGTATTATGAAATTTCTTATCACTTGAATAAAATATGATACTTCAAGCTAATAAAAGTTAATCTTGCTTCTATGTACTAGTTAACCCAGTTACTAAGAGCTAAGAAAGTCCAAAATACCTTAAAACTCGGCTCTATAAAACATAGCAGTTAGTAGCTGTGAAGCAGTTCGTGCGAGCCCTTATCTGAGACACCACCTTTGCTAAGTTAACAGCTGACATGATGCATTGACTGTTTTCCAGGAAAGGCTGGTTCCCAAGGGCTTGTCTCCATTGCAGGGAGTAAAGTGAAAGTTTCAGATGGAGTGGGGGTTAGGGGAGGTATTTAAAGGCAAAGTAGAGGAAAAATAACTTGCCCTGTTGCTGACCTGATTCTAGCAGTTAAACCCCTTTAAAAAAGGGGAGGCACCATGCTTGGTGTTCTCTGCTGAATGGCAGCTAAGTGCAGCAGAATGGGGAAGAGAAAACTCCTGTCTGGCCTGACATAGTCTTCTGGGAGGCAGAAGTGAAAGGTTGAAGCCCTCTGTGAATGCTTAATAGGGAAAATATCTTCTGCAGTGAGACGCTTCTCAATTTGAAACACAGTCAAAACCTCAGTGCAGCACTTGCCCCACAAAAGTAGCTACTCTGTTCTGCATCAGTCCTGTAAAGCCTCCTTACGGTAAGCTTCCCCCCAGATACAACTTTTGTGGAGTGAGCAAATGTGAGCTAGAGTTATTCAGTGAGTATGAATTGCATTCAGTGCTCGCTCAATGTAATGAGAGTAGTTTTGTGTTGTACAGATGCTGTCACAAGTCTTGGGAACAGATCTGTAAGAAAAACTTACTGCTTTTCTTTTAGATAACATATCGTTTGTTATTGCCATCAGATAGGGATGAAAAAAATTACTTTCTTCTTCCCTATCAATTCATGCCTTTGCTCCAGCACATGGCTAACCAGATGCACTGGCAGGCACGGGAGGGAGGTGGCAGCAGGAGCCCCCATTTTTCATCCCCGTGTCTGCAGCACCGGATTAGGAGATCCGCAGCCAGGACGCCCAAGAGGGAGGTAGGCAACACCTGGGGCATGCTGAAACCCTCTGTAGCTCAGAAACGCATGTATCCCGTGACCTGGAGGTAAGGGCCAAGGTGTGATTGTAGTTTTCATCTTTGAACCTCCCAGGGAGAAGGGCTGAAACTCTTTTTCACAACGGAAAACACCTAATTTTTCAATCAAGGAACGGCGATGCTGTTCCTACCCTGCTTTTCTCTAGTAAGTGTTCACAGAGGGCTTCAACCTCTCACCTCCACCTCTTGGCAGACCAGAGGGGAGTTTTCTCATCCCCATTGCACCACACTTGGGCTGATGTTCAGCAAAGCACACATACTGTTACGCTGGGACACGTGGCTGCCCAGCTTGGTGCTTTAGGTGCTCACCTGAGAGAAAAGTCCTGCTGCTGGTGTTGTGCTTGTTTTGGTGACTCTTCCATGCAAAAGGGCCAGAAGTGACCGAGGAGAGTGCCTGGACCCGTGCCTCAGCCACTGCTTCCTGCAGAGCAGAACAGATTCAACCTGGTCTACAGTCTGGTGAGTAGGATAGCCTCATTAAAAAGGGCAGGAGTGAACCCAGCCTATTTCATGCTGCAGAGGTTATAGACACCAGGTTTTCTACTACCTATCAACATCCAGAATGATAAAAAAAAAGCTCAAATGATCTTGCATGGAAGATTTCGATTAGATATAAAGAAGAAGTTTTTTGCACTGAAGGTGGTGACGCACTGGAACAGGTTGCCCAGAGAAGTTGTGGTTGCCCCATACCTGGAAGTGTTCAAGGCCAGGTTGGATGAGGCTTTGAGCAACCTGATATAGTGGAAGGTGTCCCTGCCCATGAGACGGGGGTTGGAACTAGGTGATACCTAAGGTTCCATCCAATCCAAACCATTCTATGATTCTATGCTTTCTGTGACAGTGACAGTTCTGAGTGCATGCAATAGCTAATTCTGAATGATTAATAGACATGAGTGTCTAGAACCTTTTAAGATGAGAGCGGGATAAGGTGCTGATGTCCTGCCTGTTGTAGACTCCTTTCTGAATCCAGGCACTGAAAAGGTCGGACCAACGCTTAGTATCATTTCTTGCAGCTGAAGCAGTGTGGAAGCCTCGGATGGTGGCATCTGGCAGAACATGGGCTGGAAGAGCCAGCTCCACCAGGGCATGATGGGGACCATCGATGGCTCTGGGCAGAGACCTACTCCACAGAGTCTGAAATGCACGTTTACTGTTGGAGGTTACCTGAATTGTGATAGTCTTTCAGATGTTGCTTCTCCCTCTGTTGCCAGCTACCTGGCTTGCTGCTTTCTGTCACTCTGATTGCTTCACCCAGTAGATGAAAGAAGTGACTGTATCCAGCACTGACAGTGCAGCAAAGGAGTTATTCCTGGCTCTTTTGTGTTTGGGGTTACTCAGCGCACAGAGAAACATGTGACAGAGCTTTCAATCCTGGGAATAAATAGCAAAATAAATAAAAATAAAACCTAGTTGCCAATGGGGTAGGAAGGCGACAGGAAACCTCCAAAGCCTGCGCTCTGTGAGAGTGTGAGAGGACCCTCACAGTGGAGAGCAGACGGGGACTGTGTAAACTTCTCAGTGTTTGATCTAGGCGCCCCAGGCTTATGCTCGTATATAATCACCAAAAGCTGCTTAGTGCCGAGCCAGCAGCTGACCTCAGAGCTGTATTTCTCATCCTAATAACTGCAGGCAGCAGCCGTACCAAGCTGAGCCGGCCCCACTGGTGGCCGGGCACTTGTCCTACCCTCCAGCGAGCACCGTGAAGCTGCTCCCACAAGCTGAGCAGCAGCAGCACTCTAAGGCTGAATTCTGTCGCTCGCTGCTCACGGCAGTCACCAGGTCCTTGTACAGGGACTAACTGAGGTTACTGCCACAGGCAACGCTGCCCTTCTTTTGGTGAATGTTGATTTCTGACAAGACTTTCTGACACCAGATCCATTCCAGGTCACCCAGGCAGAACTGATTTTGCCTAATTTGCTTCTGTCACACCGTGAGATCTCTTACATGGTGACCATCTCCAAATATGTGAGCTGTACTCGCATACTCGCATAATACTGTACTGTATTACAATAAATAATATTAATCCCCCAGATAATCTTAATAGTTCTCATATTTAGTTTTTTTTTGCTTCATGTAGCCAGAAGCTTGCTTTTCTTTCTTTTCCTTTTTTCTTTTTTTTTAATAATCCTCCAAAATATGAAAACTGTTACCAGACAATCCATTTTCCAGCCCCATGGGAACATGTAACCAATGTATTTCTTCTGCCATCAGTTTATCTGTTCTAGTATACAGCAAACATGTTTTTCCCTCCCTCCTTTCTCTTTCTTTTCCTTCCTTTCTTTTCTTTTCTTTTCTTTTCTTTTCTTTTCTTTTCTTTTCTTTTCTTTTCTTTTCTTTTCTTTTCTTTTCTTTTCTTTTCTTTTCTTTTCTTTTCTTTTCTTTTCTTTTCTTTTCTTTTCTTTTCTTTTCTTTTCTTTTCTTTTCTTTTCTTTTCTTTTCTTTTCTTTTCTTTTCTTTTCTTTTCTTTTCTTTTCTTTTCTTTTCTTTTCTTTTCTTTTCTTTTCTTTTCTTTTCTTTTCTTTTCTTTTCTTTTCTTTTCTTTTCTTTTCTTTTCTTTTCTTTTCTTTTCTTTTCTTTTCTTTTCTTTTCTTTTCTTTTCTTTTCTTTTCTTTTCTTTTCTTTTCTTTTCTTTTCTTTTCTTTTCTTTTCTTTTCTTTTCTTTTCTTTTCTTTTCTTTTCTTTTCTTTTCTTTTCTTTTCTTTTCTTTTCTTTTCTTTTCTTTTCTTTTCTTTTCTTTTCTTTTCTTTTCTTTTCTTTTCTTTTCTTTTTTCTTTTCTTTTTTTCCCACATTTGTAGAGGTTGGGTAGCTGAGTGGCTGGACAGAGATTCTCACTGGTGCTTTAACAACAGGTAAGTATCAGCGATTTTAATTGCAAATCCTTCCACAAGGGAAGGGGAGGGAAGCCTGGATATTACTGAAAATTTTAAAGTCATTTGCATACAATAAAATGCTCAAACAGACATTTGCTTGAGCACAGTCACGCATGCAGAATTAAGAAGTGCCAAAAATAAAATTACATCTTCAATCTTTATTTGGTCCCTTTATGCTCACGCATAATGCTACAGATTTCAGCTGCAAGTTACTGGACCTTGTCTTGTTCAGCGCACACACTCAACAGCACTCCGGGAGACACCACTCACTGCCACAGCATTTCCAGACCTCCTGTGTGTGTTCCTCTAGTTTATTTATCTACTGTAAAGAGTCTGAATTTATAATTTCCTCTAGGGTAGACTTCCAGTCTGGATCTCAGATCAAGTTCCCACAAAATGAAGCTCAAACATTCTGGGGTACCAATGCAAAGCACAGTTCAAGTGAAATTCCCAGCCTCAGCCAGGAAAGCAATAGCACAAGCAGGAATAAAATCCAGCTTTCCAACATGATGTAGAGCTACCTTAACTGTAGGCCCCTTCTCTCTGTCCAGCATATTGCATCCTTCATTCCACAGCTGTCTTCTGCATTAAGGGCAGCGATGCTCTTGCTAACAGGCCCCCTTACAGCCCAGTCCAAGGTCATTCCCCAGGCCCAAGAACTGGCCAGAGGTAAAAGCTCCTTATGGGCTTCAGTCTGCAGCAACCCATGTCACAGCTGCAGAAAAGGCCAAGTCCACAGCAGCCAAACCTCTGCACAGCGATGTGTGATATTTTCCACACAAACTCTTCAGCCTGACATTTTCTGCCTGTTTCTTTTTCAGAGACGTATTTCAGCTGTCTCCCTGTGGTGGGTTACACGAACTGCAAGGAGAAGACAGCCTCTATTGAGCGTTTCTCTTTGGCTGTGTAGTGCCCCTTGCAGGGTGATACGGCCACAAAGGGAAGAGATGCAGCTTTTTCCAAGAATATCCCTGCAGTTCTTCTCTGCTATTGCTTGTGATTTTGAAGTCCAGGAACGTGTCTCAGACTTGGCAGATGCCAAATAAAAACATGTTTAGGATGGAGAATGGTGGTGGG